CACACACACACTCGCGCTCGCGCTCGCGCACGCACGGGTCTCAGTTGTCGCTGTTTTAATAAAGTTTGGATTTTTTCCGCTTTCTGGACTTTTATATGTTTTTACGCGCAGTAAAATCCGCAGATTTGCGCTTCTTGTACTCCGATCGATCAAACTCTTGAAAGACTTTTGAACAGTTCTTGTGTGATTTCTACATTTCTGTACTGATTTGCTTGCTGAGAGAAAGACGATAAATGACCTTCGGAATAAAGACTCACCTTTGAGCTGCGCCCGTTGAATCCAGACTGATGGAGGCCGAGTGTGAGTCTGCGCACCTGCTGCTCCACACGGAGACCTGGGGAGGAGTCCTGCTTCTCCTGCTCGGCGGAGGTTTGTGGCGGCTGTCAGCGCGCTGCGGGCTCCAGTTTAATACCTGCTGCAGGAGGTTTGACCGGCAACCATAGAAACGCTACACCCCCTGTAAACAGCTCCGCGCGTCTTCATTGGCCTCCCCGTTTCTATGGCGCTTCATTTTTAATCACGCTCAAGTCAACTGTGGCCGCGGGTTCTCAATCTGAGGCCCGGGGCCGCTCCGGGGGACCTGCTGGGACTTTTACTGCAGGATTATTGCAGTTTTATTAAAAGCAAACTCCGCGTGACTTTTTCTTTCTTTAAAAAGCGAATGAATGCAAAAACATATTAAATCAGGATGGAAGCTCAGGTCCTGCTGCTCCACGATGCACCATCCATCCACACATCCATCATTTCTATCATATTTAATACCGCACTTATTACTCGTCTGCATTCAGGACAGATTAAGACTCCATATTATTAAGTCTTCCAAAAAGCTTTCAAAAAGTAAAACCAGATTTTCTGTTGTCCTGCTGCTCTGAACAGTCCGAGCATGTGGAGCTTCATAAGGGATAAACTATTTGACTGACTTTAATTTCTTTGAGATGAAGATTTTACATTTAAAACATGAAAATAAAGTCCTTTAAAACTATACAGAAGACCCGATTATTGAAAATAAAAATGTTTCCTCTGTAAACGTTTCAACTGCCGATGAAACTTTTTACACTGAAACAACAGATTTAAATTAAGAAAAATCTTTTTTCTCGTCATGATCTGGAACTTTCATAAAATATTTCCCCAATAAATCTCTAAATTTGTCAAAATAAAGAAACAACAATAACAAAAAAATTCTAAAAACCTGAAAGTAAAATTTGTGTGTTAATCAATCAAGCAAAACTTTATTTATATACACTTTTTATACAATAAAGCTGTAACTCATAGTGCGCACACACATTCACACACACACACTACACTCATGTAGTATCACAGCAGGACTGTCTTTGGAAACACTGAGATACAAAATAATAACTAACAGTGAAACATAAAGGGAACTAAGGTGAAAGAATAAAGACATTATATAATGAAAGCAGAGTTTTAACATTTAAACAAACAATACAATGAAAATATGACAATAAATTAATAGAAGGTGAATTAAAATTTTGAAAAAGAGTAAAAAAATTAAAAAGGATCTAAACAGTCTGAGCAGCCCCCGGGTCATCAGGTGGACTCTTCCATAACACGGAGCTTATTAATTCCATAATAATGCCATGTTACCTCTATAATAACTCAATGTTAACTCTATGATAACTCTATGATAACTCTATAATAACTCTATGTTACCTCTATATTAACTCTAT